ATGATTTAGAAAAGCTGGAAGAGCACAAGTCCATGGGGCCGGATGCACTGCATCCGAAGATGCTAAAGGAGTTGGCGGATGTGATTGCAGAGTCATTGGCCATTATCTTTGAAAACTCATGGCAATCGTGAGAGGTCCCAGATGACTGGAAAAAGGCTAATGTAGTGTCCATCTTTAAAAAAGGCAAGGAGGAGGATCCGGGGAACTACAGGCCAGTCAGCCTCACCTCAGTCCCTGGAAAAATCATGGAGCAGGTCCTTCAAGGAATCAATTCTGAAGCACTTTGAGGAGAGGAAAGTGATCAGGAACAGTCAGCATGGATTCACCAAGGGCAAGTCATGCCTGACTAACGTAATTGCCTTCTATGATGAGATAACTGACTCTGTGGATGAGGGGAAGGCAGTGGACGTGTTATTCCTTGACCTTAGCAAAACTTTTGATACGGTCTCCGACAGTATTCTTGCCAGCAAGTTAAAGAAGTATGGGCTGGATGAATAGACTAAGGTGGATAGAAAGCTGGCTAGATCATCGGGCTCAACGGGTAGTGATCAATGGCTCCATGTCTAGTTAGCATCCAGCATCAAGCAGAGTGCTCCAAGGGTCGGTCCTGGGGCTGGTTTTGTTCAATATCTTCATTAATGATCTGGAGGATGGCATGGATTGCACCCTCAGCAAGTTTGCAGATGACACTAAACTGGGAGGAGTGGTAGATACAGGATACAGCGGGACCTAGACAAATTAGAGGATTGGGCCAAAAGAAATCTGATGAGGTGCAACGTCCTGCACTTAGGACGGAAGAATCCCATGCATTGCTACAGACTAGGGACCGAGTGGCTAGGCAGCAGTTCTGCAGAAAAGGACCTAGTGGTTACAGTGGATGAGAAGCTGGATATGAGTCGACAGTGTGCCCTTGTTGCCAAGAAGGCTAACGGCATTTTGGGCTGTATAAGTAGGAGCATTGCCAGCAGATCGAGGGACGTGATCATTCCCCTCTATTCGACATTGGTGAGGCCTCATCTGGAGTACTGTGTCCAGTTTTGGGCCCCACACTACAAGAAGGATGTGGAAAAATTGGAAAGAGTCCAGCGGAGGGCAACAAAAATGATTAGGGGGCTGGAGCACATGACTTATGAGGAGAGGCTGAGGGAACTGGGATTATTTAGTCTGCAGAAGAGAAGACTGAGGGGGGATTTGATAGCTGCTTTTGACTACCTGAAAGGGGGTTCCAAAGAGGATGGATCTAGACTGTTCTCAGTGGTAGCAGATGACAGAACAAGCAGTAATGGTCTGAAGTTGCAGTGGAGGAGCTTTAGGTTGGATATTAGGAAAAACTTTTTCACTAGGAGGGTGGTGAAGCACTGGAATGGGTTACCTAGGGAGGTGGTGAAATCTCCTTCCTTAGAGGTTTTTAAGGTCAGGCTTGACAAAGCCCGGGCTGGGATGATTTAGTTAGGGGTTGGTCCTGCTTTGAGCAGGAAGTTGAACTAGATGACCTCCTGAGGTCCCTTCCAACCCTGATATTCTATGATTCTATGATCTCTGGTCTTGTGGGCTCGACACGTTCATTTTTTCCCCTCCATCCCCCGCTGACCTTCCAGATTCTAACTTTGTAACGGTGTCCGTTTCATTTCTGTAAGGCCCCAGAGGAGACCGCGGGGATGGAGAAAGCCTGTGGAATAGGCAAACCAACCCCTGCTGTCCAGGCTGCTGCTGCCCAGGGTAGGCACTCCAGTCTACATTATTTTAACGTCCCCAATGATGCTATTACCCTGAATTTCACCAGCGCTGCCGCCTAGGAATGATGCTCTTCTCTCCTGGCCTGAAATTCCCAGTGTTGCATTGTCTGTTACACGCAGCACCTGTGACACCACATGTGTTAAGCCGTGGCACTCCTGAGCCTTGTTCAGAAGGAGAGGCTGGGGCACTAGACATGGGGAACGTGATCTATTGCTGCGGAGTGTCCCGAGGTCCCTTGAACAGCAGAATGTTTCCATGATGGAGTGCCAGGGAGGGCCCAGGCTGGGGTACAAATCTGTGAATTTACACAGCATGCGAAGAAATGTCACACATGCCGGAGCCAGCAAAACTTTCTGAGGGCCCCTTGAGACAGAGACAACCTCTACAGATGGCAGGGCTGGGCCTGCCATTACACGGGACTGTCAAGATGAGGAGGAATGAGACATTAATCCTCCAGGGGCCACACTAAGGAAAACGCAGGTCCTGTTACGGAACCCGTGAAAGGGGAACCCGCCAGCAATGCAAGCAGCAGCAGGTCCCTGTCACCCTGATTAAACACTCTGTCCTCAGGTAACACTCCTGCTGTGGCCGCGTGTCTAGGGCTGGCCCAGCAGCAACTTCTTACCCCTCAGAGCTGAGGCAGAGCCACAGACTTCATTAAGACACATGAGCCTTAGCCCATGAGCCCTGAGGAGCCTGATGTCAGGCAGAACACACCGAGCTGGGGTTCACGTCCTGGCGGGAGTTCGCAGCACCAGCTGTTTCTACACTGCACCATGGAACCTGAGCGGATTTGACCCGAGAGCCTGTGGGAGGGGCTGTGACCTATCACCTGTACAGGGTTACTGCAGAGTCTCACTTCGCTGTTGGCATTAGTCTGCAGTTACAGCTCCCTGAGCAGTGAGAAAGCAGGTAGGGAAAGCACCAGACACCCCTCTGTCTGTGACACGGCCCTATAAAGGGACTGTCCTTTCATTACACTGTCTCACAGTCAGTTTCAGGGCAGGGACCAAGGGGGAAGAGAATGGAGCATTTCCTGGCAGATCTGCTTACCAGGTTGAAGATCCCACCATCACTTCCCAGTAATGGCACCCACTGTCGATGAATATGTTGCCTGCTGCTCCGTAGCACCCAGTGCCGCTGAACCTCTCAGGCGTGTGGCTCTTTTTCAAGGAGCTCTCATCTTTTTCCATCTGCAGCCCATCATTGGAGAGCTTCAGCTTCTTGTGGGCCATCTTGGGATCCAACTTAAAGGGCTGACCTGAAAGGAGACAGAAATACCGATGGTTAGTGTGTCTCCTTCCCTGTCACGCAGGCTGAACCCTGAATTGCCTCTCTTCTGCCTGTTACACCAAGCCATGGGATGTGAGACAGGGCATCAGCCAGGGTACCTGGTCCTTCCAACCACATACCAGAGCATTCATAAAAAGTACCATGTATTCTTGGCACCCTCCAGGCTGCCCCCCGCTGGCAGGACAAGGCTCAACCACATGCCTCACTAATCTACGGTCAAAAGTTGATTCCAGAGCAAAAGGTCCCTCTAATACTAACACGGCCCATGCATCACTTGAGTCCCATGTAAGTCATCACAACAGGACACAGTCAGGAGCTAGGTGGTGTGCTGGCCTCGTGAATTTATTTCATCTTCATCGACCTAATGCAGAGAAGGGAGGAATAGCTCGGAGGTGAAATCAGAAGAGGTTTATGAAGTTGCGCTAGAGAGAAAGAAGTCTAATTATAGTTGGAACAAAAGCAATAATTAAAAAGAGAGCGAAAGCTTGGCCACTTAAGAATGGAGTCAAGCATTGCTCCAAACTGCTGGTCTATAGCATGGGGGCCATTTTTACATTTTCTTTGAAGTCTGTAAATGACTTCTCATTAGTGTGGACAGGGCACAGGACTGGGACTGAAGAGAGCTAGGTCACAGCTCTGCTACAGACTCGCTGTGTGACCTTGGGAAGTCACTTAACCGCCCCATGCCTCAGTTTCCCCATCTGTAAAAGGCAGATAAGGAGGCTGCCCCTCCTATGTAAGTGCTTTGAGATATATCCATGAAGGGTTCTGGGTAGCTGATGAGTGCTATGGTATTGTATAATCATCCCAGCTGGGATGTTTGGGCGGGAAACTCTCAGTCCTGGGCTACCCCCCACCCTCTAATTGTGTTACATTGTTCAGACTTACCGCAGTAAACACACTCTCTTTAACAGAAATGGGGAGCTGGTTGCAGATAATGGAAGTGGAGCCTAGGATGCTGTAAAGCAGTGGAAACCAAATCCAAGCATGGTAAGCGGTTTGAATTCGTTAAAGGGTTTTCAACCTTTTTTCATTTGCGAAACCCAATTTTTTTTCGAATGGAGGTGTGGGCCTCTTTTGAAATCTTAGATATAGTCTGCGGACCCCTAGGGTCTATTAGCTCTATTAGCATTAATGAAAGTTATACAAACATACTGAAAGGTGAATAGACCCTTGAGTACTGGTACAAATAATGTCACTAGCCAATGTATCTAGCCAATCGCCACACACCCACCTCCAGCCAATACTGTTTACTCCCCGCAGTATACCCTGTTTCCCCGAAAATAAGACAGTGTCTTATATTAATTTTTGCTCCCAAAGATGCGCTAGGTCTTATTTTCAGGGGAGGTCTTATTTTTCCTGGAGCTTCGGGGCCTTATATTCCGGGGTGGCCTTATTATCGGGGAGGTCTTATTTTTGGGGGGATGCCTTATATTACAGCGAGAGGCAAAACTGGAAGTAGGTCTTATTTTTGGGGGATGTCTTACTTTCGGGGAAACAGGGTATTACACATTGCAGGAAACATGCCCTTAGTTTCTCAGTACTTTTTCTATTGCCAGCTCAAAGTCTCAGCTCAGTGTCTTCTGCTCGCAGGCTGTGCCTTACACACCACTCTAGTTACAGAAACAAACCAAAGGCATACAATGAAATCTGGGTTTGCACAGGCTGTGCTCATAAGCTTGATACTTCCCCAATCCGGTGGCATCAAAGAGCAGGCGCTGTGGCACATGCACTGACAGAGAGAGTACTTCATTCTCAATCAACGGAACAGATTTTGAGGGGTTCTCTGCAGGTCTTTTAATGCTGTCTTGAAACACGACTGAAATTCCTTTGTCATGTTACCAGCCATCAGAACGCCAAACTATTTCCTAATTGACACGCACTCACTCTCCCGTTCGCTTTGATAAAACCCTTCTAAAGATTCATTACAGCCAAGGAACATTTGGCCTTGCTCATGCTGATAAACATGGAGCAATCCACACTTGTCTTTTCTGGGAACCAGCACAAAAATAAGTGCTAAGGATTTTCTGAAAGCCTCTGTTCTTTGCTATGCTGGGAAAGGTACGGTGCCCTGGCTATAAATGAACGGGATCAGATTCTGAACCGGGGAAAAAAGGAATGACTCATCTGACTCTGCACAGCCTCATGGCAGGGCAAACTCACATGCTGACAGCTCCTGAGCCTGGCTTTCATTTGCGCAGGAGACAGGTTTCTTGCAAAGCGAGTGCCCTTGAATCTGGAGGGCTGGGGAATTCTGTGCTATCAACCTACGCAGCAGCATCCTGAGCCACAACAGCTTGCACCAATCACCCAGATTGCACCTCAGAAAAAAACAGCGTGAATTTACTGCCCAGGAAAGCAAGCCCCTAAGAGCATCGCCTTGAGTCAGGTATTGTGTGGGCAGATGCTGCATGTTTCCCCAGTGGGAGGCCAAGCGCAGTGTGCGTAGGCTCTGTGCAGCCAGCTCTGCCAATGCATAGTAAGCTGGACATTCAGCATCCTTTGCTGTTCTAGTCCGGCTCTCAACCTCCAGCGTGCAGGCAGCTCGGCCAAAGAATCCCAGTCCTGACCTGCAGTCCCCCACTTTATTTGAGCCAGTGGGCCTCACAAACACAGCTGGCTGAACTCCTCAGTCCTGACCCGCAGCCGCCCTGCTGTTCCAGCCCAATGGGCGTCACACACGCGGCTCTGTCACAGCGCTCCAACCCCCTGCTACTCCAGTCCTGGATTTACATACAGCATTTCCAGGGCACCTCAGCCCTGCCAGTTAAGTCCTGAGGCACTCCAGAGCAGAGGGCCCCTGGTCCTTACAGAGCTGCAGGAGTCAGAATTAACTGATCAGTGGATCATTAGGCACTTAGATTAAAGGGAAAACGCACAGCAAAAATAGGGCTAGCTGGGGAGAAACATGGGAGGGGGCAGAATGCATCCAGAGATGCATCCTGAGAGCCAAACTGAGATTCTAACAGCTTGGCCCAGCCCCAGGATATTATAGCAATAGCATCTGGACAGTGATTGGCACTAGATAGGGAGTGTGATTACACCATGGGACTGGCATACAGGAGACCTGGACCCTATTCTCAGCTCTACCATGGACGTGTGGAGTGAGCCTGGGTTACTCACTTCCCTCTCTGTGCCTCAGTGTCCCCATCCATAGAACGGATAGTAACACTTGTCTAGCTCACAGGGGCACTGAAAGGGCAAATCCGTTGACTGCAGGGTGCTCAGGTGCTGCCTGGGCGCTGCTTTAAAAATGCCAGGGTTGTTAAAACAAGAGTGGCTTTGGTAGTCATAGAAGGACTGAAATGAGGGACCAATGGGAGGCTGCGCTGCAAGGGAGACTGAAGAGTTTTAGTGATACTCTCTAACGGGCTGAAAGAGGCAGAGGAGCCGGAGACTGAAACACAGGCTCGCTAACAAATCTCTTCACTGTTTAGAAAGCAGGCCATTTTCTTTTGCTTCAAACTTGAGCACAGATGACAAGGAAAGGAAGGATGGCAGCTGGAGATGGGCACTACTGATAGCAGTGGAGGGCTTCAACAGCAGCCAGACAGCAGGAGAGAGATGGTTATTGTGCTCACGATGAACTGTACTGGGAGAAATATGAGCAGCCTATAATGAGCTATCCTTTCCCAGAACGTAACCCAGCGCCATAAGTCTCTGCACAAACAGCAGTGGTGAGGAGGCGCTGCAGCTGGGCTAGCCAATCTGGATTGGCTCATGCAGAAGGCTGGCTGCTTACACCAAAGGGACGGCCTCCCTTTGGATCTCCATTGAGCTGCACCCACCAGGCTGTCTGGGAGAGGCAAGTGGTGTGACCCAGTACAAGCAGAATCTCTAAGGGTATATCTAGACTGCAGTTAGACACCGGGCCAGCTGACTTGGGCTCGCAGGGCTCAAACTAAAGGGTCGTTTCATTGTGGTGTAGATGTTCTGGCTCAGGCTGGAGCCTGGGCTCTAGGACCCTGTGAGGTGGGAGAGTTTCAGAGCTTGGGCTGCAGCAGGATCCTGAACATTTCTACTGCAGTGAAACAGCCCCTTAGCCTGAGCCGTGCGAGCCCAAGTCAGCAGGCACGGGCCAGCCGTAGGTGTCTAACTACAATATAGACATCCCTCAAAGGTGTGTCTACACTGCAGTTGGGTGTGTGCTTCCCAGCATGGGAGACAGATATGCTAGCTCTGCCTGAGCTAGTGCTCTGAAAATAGCAGTGTAGCTGGGGGTAGCAGTGGCCTGGGCAAGGGACTGTATGTATCTAGGGGTCCACGCAGGTTTGTACTCTGATGGCTACCCTGAGCTGCTGCCTGTGCTATCCTCGACTACACTGCTATTTTAGCACGCTTGCTCAAACAGAGCTAGCCCGTGTCTGTCTGCTCGTGCTGGGAACCACACTCCCAGCTGCACTGCAGACACACCCAAAAACTCTCCCCCACATCCCAACCAGGGCCGGCTCTAGGTTTTTTGCTGCCCCAAGCAAAAAAATTTTTGGCTGCCCCCCCACTGCACACTCCTGCCGCCCCAGCCCTGGGTCACTGGTAACTCGCTCCCAGGGCGGGTCATTCAGCAGGAATTTTGGATGTGCACAGAACACAGACAGCGGGGGGGGGGGAAAAGAGAGCCCAGGGCTGGGGGGGCAGGCGGGGCGGGGGGGGGGGGGGGGGCGAGCGGAGGGCTGGGGCGGCAGGGGGTGCAGGGGGAGGCCAGGGCTGGGGTAGCAGGAGATGCGGGTGGGGGGAGAACCCAGGGCTGGGGTAGCAGGGGGGTGCAGGTGGGGGCCAGAGCTGGGGCAGCAGGGGGTGTGGGCAGGAGAGAGTCCAGGGCTGGGGCAACACAGGGGTGCGGGGGGAGCCCAGAGCTGAGGTGGGGGGCGGCAAAAAAACCTAGAGCTCGCTCTGTTCCTACCATTTACAGCAAGCTGCAGCATGAGGTTTCAGTTCTACACTCCTTCCCCCCCTTTCCTGTTAATTGCA